GATTGGATGGTTCCCACCCACATTGAGGGTGGGTCTTTCACACCCAGGCCACTTAGACTCTCATGCTAATCTCTGCTGGAAACACCCTCACGGACACACCTAAAAAGATAGCTTTCCCAGGTTTCTCAGCATTCCTTCATCTAACCAAGTTGACACCTAGAGTTAACCTTCACAGAGGGGAAAGGTTTCTTTTCACTGATAGACATTTATTTTAATTTATTTTCTGGCAGCTGCTGGTAATGGGATCCAAACCCTTGACTTCAGTGTTATCAGCACCATGCCCTAACCAAGTGAGCTAACCAGCCAGCCCACTCATAGGTATTTTAAAATCTTCCTTGAGCTCTTGAGATCCTTCCCTGGGGAATAAGATGAAATATTGCAATCCTAGGAAGGATTCATAAAGTCACTCTTTAGTGCAGATTCACGAAAACCTCTAAGTGTGTGTTGGGATAGCTTGGAGGAACAGACAGTAAAGAGTTACGGTCAGGAAGAAGAGAGATAATAAGAAGAGTGGAAAGCTCATGAAAGATAAACGCAGGGAAATTAAGACATCTAATGTGCAAAGGAGCCCAGAATCCTGGGTAAACTTCAAGGAAAATACATTCAATTTGTTTCAGTATATTAGAACGAGTGAAGGGATTCAGTGGTGTAGGTAGAAGCCAAAAAATAAAGCATCTGGTGTCATTGCAGTAGCTTCTCTTTATGAGGTCGCATCAAAGCCTGGAGAGGCAGCCCAGCCTACTTATTAAGAGCTGCAGGTTCAAGCCCCAGCCTCTCCACTGCCGGAGCAGAGGAGGATATTTGTTGACACAACCTTGTAGTTCAATTTTTAATTTTTTAACTGTGTGGGAGAGGCAGCTCAGCATCGTGGTTAATACACTCATATATGTTACCTCTTACTTATATTACTTTAATAAAAAAGTAATATAATGTAAAAAAGTAATAAAAATATAATTATAAGTATAGAGGAACAAAAGTGGCCTTTTCCACATCAAAACATGTAAAAATAAATGTAGCACTTATGAGTCTCACTCTAAAAACTCAGATGAACAGGGCCGGCCCGGTGGCGCATTGCTACAGTGCGCCACTTGGGAAGCGCGGTAGCGCTCCCGCCGAGGGTTCGGATCCCACATACAGACCGGCTGCTCACTGGCTGAGCGAGGTGCGGGAGCAACACCGAGGATTGCGATCCCGTTGCCGGTCCCGGTCCGGTACAGGTGCGACACTGAGGGTTGCGATCCGTTGCCGGTCACGAAAAAAGACAAAAAGGAAAAAAAAAAAAAAACTCAGATGAACAGAAACATAACTTTGTCTTTCCCTCTGTGATTTTAATCTTTTCTCCTGCCCCGCTGGTGGAGAAATTTAACTCCTGATTCTTCCAGATTTCTTTCTTTTCTCTAAGGTTGTGTCAAGTGTCAAAGCATTTTCAGGAGGAAGGAGGCCCCTGGTCCTCTGTCCACACGGCATGAGCTGTCTGCTGCTCCTGTGCCAGATGTGGCCACAGGAATCCACTCAAACTCACAGCCAGCGCCTCCTCGCTGAGTCCTTGCCACCTCCCAGTGCTCTGCCCTTCTTTCCTTTACCACAGCTTGTTCCGTCTCATCACTTCCTCACCTGCTCTCTCCCATTCAAGACGGGGACTCTTTCTGGCTCATGGGATCAGCACTCCACTGCTACTTGGCTTTTCTCAAACATTTTATCTGAACCACAAGTTTTTTACAATTCTTTAAGGAGGTTGGGCCTTTGAGGCCAAAAGCCAGAGAGACTGGCCAACAACTTCGGCTTCACTTTCACCCCTGTTCACATCACCCCTGAAGTACTCAGACAGCTCTGTTTGAAAGGAAGGAAGGAAGGGAAAAAGAAATGCTGGGAAAAAACAGCTGCTTATTATCCCAAAAATATTATTGTGGTCTTTTTTAGCCATAGTACTTTCTCTGTGGCAAGTCTAGGCCCTCCAGAATTGAGGCACATCAGAATCAGCTGCTGGGGTTTCTGTCGGCATTGGACCCATCAGGCCCACAGGAAGAGAAGGTGCTGCTCAGGGAAGAGCTGGGTGCTTCTCAGAACTGAGGCTGGGATAAGGTCAGACTCTTCACATGAAGGCAGTGCCCAAGCTGAGACAGTCTTACCTAAAGTGGTGAAGTTGACCACTGGATCTGCCAGGGGAGGTGCAATAAAGATCATGAAGTTATGTGTTGTCACATCTTCTACCAAAGAAAATGAATCCCATTGTCCTAGAGAGAATGGGATAAACTGAAGGAATGTCTCTTATGAAAGAATGGTCACCAACCTTCACTGAGCACATGAGCCAGGCCTCAGCAGAGTGCCACACCTACAATAACTGACTTCGTCCTCTCAGTTACACCATGAAGCAGACAGTACGGCTCCTGTTGAGACACTGTATCTTTATATCTTTGCTTCATCTAAGCGTGCAGAACTATGAAATGGGGTATCATTTTCAAACCCTCTTCGGCCCTAATTCTACAAACTGAGCACAAGGAAGGGCTGTGTCTGCAGGGATTTCACCAAGAAATGTCCAGGAAGGAGGTAGCTACTACCAGACCTGTCATCTTGCCTGTACCTCCGGAAGAGGCCAGCAGTGCAGGTCTGGTACTCCCGGGCTTTTGTTGCTAGGCTTAATGACCTTTTGTGACTGGAGTCACAGTTCTGGAGATTGTTCAGGAATAGCCAAGAAGTTTCAAGAAAGGACACATGCCCTCACATATACCAAAAGTATTCTAGTTAAGATCATGTGGTATTGAAACAGAAATAAGAAAATCAATGGAGAGACTAGGAAAGAAGGAGACCTATTTGTAAGAACTTGTTTTATGATCGAGGTGGCATATTGAAACAAGAAAAGAGCCTAGTCAGTACTAGTCAGTAAATGGTTTGGTTGTACCTGACTTTTTGCCTAAAATGTTGCATAGCTATCTTACACGCTCCCAGAATAAAATTCTTCATGAACTAGGAATAAACTCTTCATCAAATTAAGCACAAAAAACTATAACTATTTTTATAATCTTTAGCCTTATTAAGCAATACACAAAATCTGGAAATAAAAGATTGACAGCTTTAGCCTCATGAAAATTAATGGGAATGAGTAGGCTGAAGAATTTTGATGTCTTCTATATTGCTTGAATCATATACAATGAGATCTTTTTTTCTTTTTTTTTTTTTTTTAAAAGATGACCGGTAAGGGGATCTTAACCCTTGACTTGGTGTTGTCAGCACCACGCTCAGCCAGTGAGCTAACCGGCCATCCCTATATGGGATCCGAACCCGTGGCCTTGGTGTTATCAGCACCACACTCTCCCGAGTGAGCCACGGGCCGGCCCAAAAATGAGAACTTATTGAGGGGAGAATATGGCTTATAAGATTTTTTTTTTTAAATGGTGAGTAATTAGCATTGCGCCATGGCTTTTAAATCTATCAGCCAGTAAGTCTGAGCTTCCCTTATGTACTTTGTGCAGGGGATTGAACAAAAGACAGTGGCTCTTCCTCTAGGGCTTAGTATCAACCTGTGAAAACTGGCCACAGGCTCTCACCATCAGAAGCGTCTGATCTGGCTGGGTGGTGACCTCACTCTGGGACAGTTTCCTGGAGAGGGTAGGATTTAAACTGGGTCTTGCAAAGTAGATGGGATTTCAGTAGGTGGGAGAAAAGGGTCTTCCAGACTAGGGAGGTTGAGGCCAGTGGGCCCCAGTGCCCCAGGCATTCTGCACCCACCCTGAGGTGGGTCAGCTCTGCATGGGTCTCACCCTGATGTGGGGACATTTGTGGAGAAAACAGTGAAAGCAGATCTGAGCCAGGTGTGGAGATTGGTACACTGGGCTTGGGAGAAGGTCAAAGGCCAAGAGCATGCCGCCTGGGCCAGGGGCAGTGAGGTGATGACTTGGAGGCCTTGCTGACGTAGACTCCTGTGAAGGCCAGTTTATGAGCTGTAGGGAGTGGATGAGGTGACAAGAGTTTTCCCAAGGACTAAATGGGTTTATGGCAAACACCACAGAATGAAACAGATGCTGAATCTTTGACACAAGGACAAGCCAAGACTTGGGTGACTTGGGATAGGTCCCTTTCTTTAGTTCTGATCACACCCTGGACAAAATGGTCCTCAAGATGGGCCCTTGGCTCTCACACGGACCTAGATTCAGGCTCACAGCACACAAAGCATCCTGACCCCTGGAAAGGGCCACCTGTGGCTGCATATGCAGCAGCATTCTGGTCAGTTTGCATTCTGTAACTGAACATAAACAGGAAAGGAATTTGGAGTAACACTTTGTGGGAAGAGAAAGCAGAAGAGACAGAGGCCACAAAGGAGGGTCTCACTGCCTCCCAGTCCACACTTCTTGGGCAGGAGCCAGCCTGTTCTCCTCACCACCTCTAAATGCTGTTGCTTTAATTCAACAAATAGCTGTGCCAGCGAGGTGGGGGGGGACAGGGAGGTGAAGCAGGCTGGGTGTGGAGGGCCTTGGAGGCAGCCTCTGGGTGAAGCAGGGCTGTGCACAAAGGAGGGCAGTGGCCTGTCTGCTGGTTGCTGCATAGAAGACTGACTGCAGGAAGGCCAGTTAGGCTAATTTACATTATTCTTGCCCTTCCGGGCAAGAGAAGATGACAAATCAGGGAGGTGGCCATGGGAATGGTCAGAAGCAGTCAACTGGTCAGGATGGGAAGCCCGCAGGCCTGCACATTGGAGATAGAAGAGTCACTGGTGACCATGCTCTGGGCCTGAGCAGCTGGAAGTCAGTTGCCATTAACTGTGAGAAGGGAAGCAGCAGATGGGGCAGAGCTCAGTGGGAGTCTCCAGGAGAAGTGAGTGGGCAGCCAGCCGCCTGCAGCTGCAGGTTTAAACATGAGACTTGCTAGCATATGGAAGGTGTTGAGAGGCCACCTTAGGTCTCTGGCAGGTCATGCCGAGCTAGTACTCAGGTTACCTCTCTGCTGGCTTTCCTGCTTACAGCGTCTTCCTCTTCCCAAGTTTTTCCACATTCCCTCCGCCTTAGATGGGCGAGGGGGCCGGGGTGAGAGCCTTGTTCCTAATGGGAAGCCAGGTGCTGCTCCCTCCCCAGGGCAGGGAAGGAGGTTCTATCCAGCATCCCCCTGCAGTATCTCTGCCCTCCATGCCCCTCCCCACTGATACCCACAGGCAGGGCTGGTAGCGGGCACCTGTGCTCACACAGAAGCACAGCCTTTGGGGATGGAGCAAGCCTTGTCACTGTCACTTTAAGGAGGGAATCAACCACTATGTTCACCACCTCCAAGGGAGGCAGAGGGAGGCAGACGTGAGAGAAGGAAGTGGGGCTGGGCTGCAGCAAGCTGCTGGCTTCCTGGGCCTGCTGACAACATGAAAGCTTCCTTTGTTGAGAAGAGAATTACCGGTGCTGTCCCTGCAGCCCCCAGAGCCTGGGCTGGACAGGAGTGATGGACCAGCTTTGGCCCTTGGTCCTGCTCTGGGAGCTCCTGACCTTCTGCATCACTGCCGGTGAGTGGGGAGGCTAGAGGAGGCAGAGGACATAGGGCGGGGAATAATGTGGAAACAGCCCGTGGACCTTCTTGTCCTTATTCCACAGTGACCCCTGAGGTGTGGGTGCAGGTTCAGATGGAGGCCACTGAGCAACTGTCCTTGGCTGTTCGCTGTGGATTCCTGGGGTCTGGCTCCATCTCCCTGGTGACTGTGGGCTGGGGGGCACCCGATGGTGCCGGAGGGACCAGGCTCTGTTGCACCCAGAATTCGGCACCCAGCAGTGGTCCCCTGCCCACCAGGCCCACTGGGAAACCAGAAGCAGCGTCTCCTTCATGTTGGGGGGATCCGAGGCAAGAAGCCCCAGTGCCAACACTACCTTCTGATGCAAGTTTGTTTCCTTCCCTGAGGGCTCTCAGGAGGCCTGTGGGAACCTCCTGCCCAGCTCAGACCAAGGTGGGATTGGAAAGAGGGGACAGGGAGGGACTTAGGCACTGGCTGCCCATCTGACACCTCTCTCTGTGCCCAGGGCTCCCTGCCCCAACTCCAGCCCCCATTCTGAGGATGGACCTGGCCAGGATCTTGGGGGTCTTGGTGGTCCTCCTCTTCGGCTGCATTTACCTTCTCCACCTCCTGCGCCGGCAGAGGCATTGGTGAGACCTGTACCCCAGTCTAAGTCCCCATACTGCTAGGCTAGCCACATGCTTTGTTCTGATTCCTTCTCTCTCCCAGGTCTGTTGCTAAGCTTCAGCCACCTCTCACCAGCCCCCAGGCACAGACAAGAGCTCAGGTGAGGAGTAGGGATTGTGTTTGGAGTGGGAAGAAGAATGGGGCTGGAGCATGGGCTCTGAGGGGAGTCTCACTTGACCTTCTTCCCCCCACACCAGGCAGACAGCCAAGCTTCCCTGGCCTCTCTCCACATCCCCTATGCCACCATCAACAGCCTCTGCCCAGCAACTCTGGACATGGTCCACTCACACCAGCAACTGTCCCGATGGGCACCACTCCCTGTCCACACTGCACATGAACCCCAGGCACCTGCCCCCTGGGCATCTCTGCCAGCCTGTGTGTGCAGCAGTTTCGTCTCTGTTGAAAATGGGCTCTATGCGAAGGCAGGGGAGAGTCTGCGCCACACTGGCCCTAACCATATCCCTTTCCCTGAGGGCCATGGAAGGGCACTTAGGAGTTTGATGACTGATACCCCAAGTCCACTTGGACTTCTTCCCCTCCCAGGCCTCTGGAACCCTCCCACCCCCCCGCCTGTTGGGCATCTGCATCCCAGGCGCCCACTGTCCTCACACATCATGATTTATTCTTGGGCCTCCGATTAGTGTCTCCACACATATCTGGCCAGGGCCACTTGCTGCGGATGTGGTCAGCGTGTGTGCACATGTGGGCACAGGTGTGAGTATATGAGGTGACAAAACCCCATCCCAGGTTATTTCCTATTCTAAGTACTTCCCCAGCCCTCCCAGAGAAACCACTCAATCAACAAAGTGGTTTCTCTGACTTGGGCCTTGGCTGGGCCTTTTCTCATATGGAGGGCTAAGGAGTAAGAAGCAGGCTCAGGGAGGCAGGAGCCTGCTTAGAACCAGAGGGGACAGGGCCTCAGCATGGGGGCTGGGGTTGGTCCAAAGAGAGGGCAGAGGGTCCCGCTCTCAGGGAGTCAACCCTCCTCCTGGAAACAGGTCCAGCAGCGTGGGCATCATCACGCCTTAGCCACATGAGACACGTGGGTGACAGCTCTGTAAGCTGCGAAGCTCCCCAGGAACACAGCAGGTTCCAGATGGCAAGGGGTAGAGTGGTCCTGGAGCCAGGCCAAGACTGCACCCCAGCTGGGCGAATACTAGTGGGGAGGGAGGGGCACCTGCCACTTGGCCTCTTCCTTTGGCCTGCATGGGGGAAATCCCAGGCAGTGCTACCTGCCAGGCCAGGAACCACCCCCGCTCTGCTCCACTCAGAGAGGGCCTGCCCGGAGGCTCTGTCCAACCACAGAATCTTTTGCCAACCCAGCTGACTACTTACTCAGGCATTCTCTGATGTGGCCTTCCCAGGACCCAGCACCATCCAGCCACCAGTGCCACACTGCAAAGGGGTGGTCAGGCCTGCCTTCCTCAGCCAGTGGTCAACCTCCTCCTCCAAGAAACCTTCAGCATTGGCCTAGTGAGCTCAGTGGTCCCTCCAGGTCTAGGGGCTCAAGGGAGAGAAGAAGGGGTGCTTCAGAGGTCCCCAGGGAGGGTCAGGGAGGCAGGGTCAGGGGAGGGAGTAGATAAGGGCCCAGGACCCTTGGGACCCTGTCTGGACCCAGGACAGGGGTGTGAGGCAATTGGACTTGCAGAGTCTCAGGGGAAGCCTGAGTGGGCTCCCCTAGAAAGTTTTGCTTTTCTAGAAAGGGGACAGAGGGGGAGCTCTGAGGGACCACTGGCCCCCAGGCAGGGCCACAAGCCCATCATGGAGTAGGGGAAGACTCCCCTTGGCCTGAGCCCACCTTCCACAAGCTCAGGAGGCCACAGCCCAGCCTGGTCCCTGTGGTACTTGAACCCAAACACCTCGGGACCCAGAAAGTCTCCCCACAGCCAGCCTGTTCCCCAGTGCCCAGCCCCAAGTGCCAGAACCAGCAGCAGATGGAAGGGACTGCTGAGAAGGGAGCTGTGTGCTGTGCTGTGGGGGTGTGTCTGGACCACAGACCCCCAGATCAGCATCTCCAGGCCCCTTTTCTAGAATTGTTTGTTCACTCAAAACGTGTGGAAATTGAGGCCCAAGAGAGAGGGGACTTGGCCAAGGGGACAGAACTGAGCCCAGACCCTCCACCTTCTTCCCTTCAGGATTCCCCAAGCATCTAGGAAAGGCCTCCAGCCACACTCCAAGATAAGATTGCAACTTTGAACAGACCTGGGTTTGAATCCCAGAGGTCACCCTCTGGCTGTGGGAGCCCATGTGGCTCACCTAACCTCTCTGAGGCTCACCTTGCTCAGCGCTAAGTCTGAGGAGGCCTGAGGGGCATGTGACGGTTGTAGAACAGGAGACTCCCAAGTGCTAAGCAACTCCCTTGAGTATCTTATTTACCTACAGCGACCCCAATGGGTATTTTCAGGAAGTCCATGGAACAGGCGTTGAGCCTGATGTGCAAAGCAGCTGGGCAGCCTGCCAGGGCCACCGGACAGGGAGGCAGTGGGGCTTTTGGGGGAAAGAAAGCAGGAGGTACGCTGCTGCCAGCCTGGGCCTGGACATGTCCACTCCCGGGGAGGTAGAGGCCCCAGCAGCCGGGAGACCACGAGCTGGCGCTCGGCCGGCAGCGGCGCATCTCCAGCATGTGGCACGGCTGACACAGCTGCAGAGGGACCGAACGGTCCCCGGAAGGCCATAGTGTGAGGGTCGGCGGACGCTCAGGGCAGAAGACTACAGGCCATAGGGGGGTGGGGGGGGACAGGGACAGAGTTGTGACCCACCCGCGCTCGCGAGCCCGGGCGCCGCAGCCCCGCCCTCCCCTTTCTACCGCGGCTGGTCCGGCAGCCCACTCCAATCCCGGGACCCGAGCTCGCCCCCCCACATCACCCTCGGGCCCCGGCCTGTGACTCCCTCCTGCCGCCAGCTGTCCCTTTCTCCCACCAGCACGGCCTGGCAGTTGGTCCCCAAGAACCCTCTGACCCCGACTGTCTGTTTGCCCTGGAACTCTCCTGCCTGGGTCCAGCCCCCACCGCCCTCTGACCCCACTCTGGAGATTGTCTCCAGTCCCATCTCGGTCCCACCGCCTGTATCCCGCAGCTCCTCCGAGTCCCCGTCGCCGGTAGTTCAGTTCCGGCGCCTCCTGCCCGACCCGCTGGAGCCCCCTGCCGTCCTTTCCTTCAGTGCAGGCTGGCAGGCCAGCTCCTGCCCTCCTCGTGGCCCACTGCCCATCCTGGCTGTCCCCGCCCCTCTTGTCTCCATCCCCTCAGCTGTCACCAACCTGTACTGGCCCCCAGGCCACCCATCAAGGCCCCTTCCCTGCCCGGCCCAAAGGCCCGTCCCAAGACCAGCCAGGAAGAGCCACGCTCTCAGAGGGAAGACTGGGACCAGGGGCCATGACTGCCCGCGGAATGTGTGACCTCCAGCCGGTGGTCAGCCCGGGAGCCACTGACCCTTGCCAGGTGCGCCACAGAGCACTGGGCATCAGAGCCTCAACCCTAGAATCGAGGTGACCAGGAGACTTCAACAGTGAATAGCAGAGGCTGGAACCTACGAAAAGGAATCTGTCTGAAGGGTGTGTCAGGGCTGCACCAGCAGGACTGGGGAGATGGCCCTGGCCAGGATGGGGTGGGGGTGTATGGGGGCCAGAGTGGAGCTGGGCTAGACTACTGCCTCGCTCCCGTTCTCTGGGCCTCTCCCAGGCCCCATAGGGGAATACTCCCAAGAGAGGAACCACAGGCTGTGCCCTCGTCCCCAACACAGGGACACACAAATGCATAGGACGTTAGGTCTGTGGACCCAGCAATGGGGTGGGGGGACAGAGGGCTCTCTAACCTCAAGTTCCAGCCAAGTCTTGAGGAAGAGGGCCAGTGACACCTGGAATTTCCATAGATGGACCCTCTTCTAACAGCTTCCTTTCAGAATCTGTTAATTGGGTCAACTCACCCTGAGCTGGGCTGTCTGGAGAAAAGTCCAGGGTATGGTACTTGTTAAACAGCATATCTGGGCAGAGCTGAAGCCACAATTGCCTGGCACTCTGAATAAAACTGTCACGTTAACTACCATAACCAAAAGGGAGGGGGGATTATAGGTGCCTGGCCACCTTGGCCCTGCCACTGCCCCCACCCAGCCTCCCTCAGCACCCATCTTCAGAGTTCCCAGCAGTCAGAAACTCATGTTCAGGACAATGTTGTCCAGGGCTGGGGTGGCCATGTCTCCTCCGTGATTGCAAAACAGCAGAAACAACAGGACTGGTGGTCCTACCCCCACAAGATAACTACTGCCAGGATTGGCCAGGTCAGCAGGGGGGGGATGCTGCTGTAGATTAGATGCTCCTCTCCACCCCCGCCCAACCCCACTGAAGTTTAAATCCCCGCTGTTACTGCTGAAGGTGGGAAATTCTATTATGGTAATCGAAAGGGGGGGCCTTGAAGAGGTGATTGGATTGTAGGACTGTGCAGTAGTGAATGGATTAATAATGGTGGTCATGGGTGTGGTTCTGAGGGCTTTGAAAGGAGAGTGAATGAGGAGGTTGGTCTCTTGCTCTCTCTGCTCTGCCATTGCACAATATGATACCTGCTGTCACTGTCACCACCACCAAGGCCTTCACCAAATGTGTTCCCTGGACTTTGGACTTCCAAGCCTCCAAAACTGTAAGCAATAAGTTTTTTCTTTATAAATCACCCAGTTCCAGGTAATTTTGTTATAAGCAACAGAAATGGACTACTACAGATGCACAGGGCAATGGGAGGGTGAGGGTGGGCAGAAAGAGGCTACCAACCTGTCAGATGTCCTGGAGGATAACTGGCAAGGCACTTTGCACAGGGATGCCTACAGAGAGGAGCAAGGCCCCCACCCTCTCCTCTCCTGACCCCTGCCAGCCCCCTTCCCACCTCCTCCTCATTCCCCTATTCTCATGTCTTCATTTCATTCCTTCGGAAATATTTACTGAATTCCTACAAGGTACCAGGCGCTGTGCTAGGTGCTAGGATTCCAGAGCAAGTGAGGTCTCATGTGTCCTACTCTAGAGAGGGCATGTCAATAAACCAACAAACAACATCACGAATGTTAAAGGGAAAAGATCAGGGTGCTGTGGGAAGGAATAAAGGGGCCTCTCTGGGTAGCTGACATTCAAAATAAGACCTTAAGTCTAGTGGAAATTGTCTAGGCAAAGATTGTGGGGAGACCATTCCAGGCAGGGAAAGCCATGTGCAAGGCCCTCCAGCTGGAAAGAGTTTGACATTGCAAAAGTCCAAAGAGGGTCGTTGTGTTTGAAACAAGGTAAGCAAAGGAGGGAGTAGGAGGACATGAGGTGAACACAATAGACTGGGACCATGCATGGAATTTGGATTTTATTATAGGGACAGTAGAAACCCTTCATGGGTTTTAAACAGAGAAATAAAATGATCAGATTTATATTTTTAAAAGATCACTCTGGCTGCTAAGTAGAGAAAGTTGAGTATTCGTATTGGGGTGGGGGGTGAAGAGTAGAAGAAAGAACAGTCAGGAAGCTCTGCTAATAATCTAGATGGGAGATGGGGTGTCTGAGCCTGGGATGGGGGACTGTAGAGGGAAAGGAGTAGCTGGATTCGAAATATGTTGTGGAGGCAGGGTTGTTCCTGGCTGTGGGGAGAGAGGATATGGATGGGCTTAGGGCCAAGGCCCCGTTTTCCAGCTTGAGCAGCTAGGGACAGGGGCAGCCATTCCCCAACATGGAAGGTTGAGGAAGGAGCAAGTTCCAGGGAAGGGATGACAATCAAGGGGCCAGTAAGAGACAGCTGGAATGAAATGCCTAAGACAAATGAGGTGCCGGACATGCTGATGCCTCTTCACTGCGCAGGAGGCATCTTAAGGGGGGGCAAGACCTGCATGCAAAATATGGAGGAGAGAAATCAAAGTTCTAAGTCAATGGAGAGATATAGCATTCATAGATCATCAGCAGGCTCTTTGTTAAGAGATCAATCTCCACACACTGATCTACAGAATCAAAGCATTTTTAATCAAAATTCCAGCAGGCTTTCTTATAGATATTGACCAGCTCATTTTAAATTTTGGTTTAAAAATTTTTAAATTGGCTAGTCCTGGAAGGGGCTGTCTTTCCCCCGTCAGTGAGGCTGCAGATGCCAGAGCATCAAGAATGCAGAAAATAAGAAAATATAAATACTATTATTCCTGTGATGAATGGATGCCAAAAACAGCAATACAGAATCTAAGAAAACATAGAACACTTTTATTGCTTTTTCTGGCCTTATTGCACTGGCTAGAGCCTCCAGGACAATGCAAAGAGGTAGTGAGAATAGACAGTTATGCCTTATTTTTTATCTTAGCAGGAAACTGAGAACAGAGTACGAAGTCATTGAGAGGTGAGGGGCCAGGCAGGGATGGACGAGGCCAATGTGAAGGGAACAGAGCTTGGGGAACTGGTGAGATCTAAGGCAGTGGATCTCAAATGTGGTCCCTGGCCCTCACCCCCCACCCAGTCCCTGCCTCTGAACACTCTGCTTCTGACCCTCCCTGATGGCCACCTGATGGACTATAGGACTGCATTTCGGCTCTGACCATCTTTGAATCAGACACTCTAGGCCCTCCTCCTCCCCAAATCCCCCAGCGTGACAGAGCCTCAGCTGGAGGCTGATCCCCAGCCCCTGTCACTCCTGTTGGGGGCTGGGAGGGTGAACAAGCCCCAGGAAACCTCACACCATCCCTGAACAGAAATCAGGTCACACAATAGAATACATCATGGGAATTCAACTGAGCCCAGGGCCCTGAAAGTGATATAAAATGTGCAACTTATATAGAGAGAGACTGCACAAGGCAACAGTGGGTCTTGGAGACACCTCAACAACATGTGCCATGCGGAAGTTACCCAGAGCGTGTTTCGTAAATGTTCTATGCACCTCAACAGCTTGCCTGTGGTGCCCCTGGTGGGGTTTAGTCCCTCCTTAGGCAGCCTGGCAAGCAAGTGACATTTTAGCCAGGTCCCACAGCTAGTGGGGTGCTGTAAATTAGGATCTTAAAGATGGAGAGCACACCTTCAAAGATTAGAAGAGACACAAGATGGAAACAAAGATTTTATTACTTACAGGTCTGGAGAGGTACACAGCACACCTGGAAGCCACACACACAGAGGTCAGGGAGCACATGGAGAGACAGAGAGAAACCTTTGGGCCAATGCTTTTATTGGGTTCAGGGCATTATCGAAACAGATTTCCTGCAGGGAGTTTTAATGGATAGGTTTAAAGCATGCAGGCAGAGGTTCCAGGAGGTGAAGATGTGACTGTGAGGTGCTCACTGCAGCACATCTGCACAGTTCATGGGCGGTGGTAGGCTCAGCAGGGCCAGTCAAGCAGGCTGCATCTAGCTGTCCCCTGAGGAGGCGGTCACCAGGAGGAAGTTGCCTAAGGCAGAGACATTTGGATCAACCACACTGAGAAACTGGGAGGAAGTAGAGAACTAGAAACTGTGTCAACAACGACAGAGCCCAACATCTGGTATGAGAAGTTCAACTTACATTCAAAATGATGCCAAGGCAACGTAAAATTAGATGCATTTACTACATGTGGCAAGGCTGGAATGCAACCCAAGAGTCAGTCTTTGGGTAGGGCAGACCACCTTATCGAGGCCCTGCTGAGCCCCTGTCCTGTCTTCTGCCCATCATTCTTGCTGGGACCAATTCAGCCCAAAGACTCCGTTCCTCAGTTTCCCCATGGGTAAAATGGATATAACAGTATGTCCATCCTGTCCATATACAGAGTGTCATGAAGCTGGAAAGGAGACAAAGGGTGTTGACGGCCTGACTCAGGGAAAGGGGTTCCCGTGCAAGGGTAGGAGCAGCAGACACAGAGAAGGCGGGGCTGCTGGCTGACCATGGGGAGGGGCGTGGGAGAGACTATTAGGATTAGGGAAGACACTGAAAAGAAGGGACGTCCGTCTCTGCTTCCTTCCACCTTAAGAATGTGGACACCACTTCCTCTGGTGAAATCATGTCTCCCCGTTCCCACGGTCCACTCAACAAGCCAGTGCCCACCTCTTCCTGGGGAGGGCGTGGGCAGAGCCTCCTAAAGAGCCAGCCCTGTGGGTCACCCCAGCTCCCAGCCCCCCCATCTCCCACCCATCCACCTCCATTCCCAGGCTAGCAGTGTCCTCCATGAGAGACGGTCCCAGGGACCGGGTAACAGGTGACTCTTACTGCTTTGAACCTTCCTTTCCCCCTCTGTCCAATGAAGGTTCTGGATTAGCCAGGGAACTCCCAGCTGTGGATGGACTCACCTAAGGATCTGTAGGGAAATACAGCCTCCTGGGGTTCCCCTCCCATCACCAGAGATTTGGAGTTCCAGATTGAGGCCCAGAGATGCCGCCATGCAGCCATGCAGAGCATCCTGGCAGGCGGAGGCTCATGACTCAGCAGGACTGGAGTTCTAGTTCTGGACCAGCACTGTAGAGTCATGTGGCTTGGGCAAGGCTTCACTGAGCCTTGGTGTCCTCCTCTGTAGGGTGGTGAGAACAGAGAGGGCCCTGCAGATCCAGTCTCGCATTCAGGGGGCCAAGGTGAGACCTCCAGTTCCTCTCTCTCGGCAGACAGGACTGTCAGGCACCCTCACCCCTAACTTCAGGAGGCTTCAGTTTCTGCATCTAGGGAGCAGCTGGGGACAGGAGGGGCCAGCCAGGCTTTGGCCTGGGGACTGCGGGGGAGGCCCTGCTGAGCAGGGAGAGAGTGAAGAGCAAGCTGGGGACCTGAGGCTAGGGCTGGGGGCTACCAGCATGTGACCACCTACGTCTCCTCGTCCTCCCTAAGAGCTGAATCCTGGGGAATAAATGGACAGACTCATGCTCATGAAAGAGACTGGGCTGGTTCTGGAAAGCCCCGTCCCCTGGGATGAAAGACAGAGACTGGGATACAATCAGAGAATGAGAGAAAAGGGGAGATAGAGAGACAGAGACAGAGACTGACTGCAGGACCTGCTGACTGGAGCCAGCAGGGCAGGGAGTCGAGGTGGGAGAGGAGAGGCCCCAGCCAGCCAGGGTCAGGACTGGGCTCCTTGGCATGAAGACGGGGCTGGAGGACCTGTGGACAGGGCTATATTGGCATTGACCACAAGGAAGGCCCTTTTACAACACAGGAAAAGAAACGGCCAGATTAGTAAAGGAAGTGCTTGTCTCCCTGGGGCGGGAGGGTTTGGGGAAGGCTCCCACCCTCCCTCAGTCCTCTGAAGGAGCCTGATCCACGCTCTACCCAAGACTACCCCAGCTCCCGGGAATCCCTGGGGCCTCCTCTCCTGCCTCAACAGTCCTGCTGGTCTTCTCATCCCCTGGAGGACAGCAAGGCCATGGTTTGGCCCCTGCTGCTGCTGCTGCTGCTGCTATTGTCACCAGCACTTCTGCAAGCTGGTGAGTGGCCAGGACCGCCTGGCAGGGGCTCTGCCCAAACCACAGGAAGGGCCTCCCAGGAGGGGCTGTGGCTGTGCATGTGAGGAGAGGTCTGTTGGAGGAGCAGCCAAGCCTCCCAACCTTAACAAACATGGGGTGGTATCCCAGGGGTGGGTTCACCCCAACCCTTCAGCCCTCCTTCCTCCCCAAGCCTGGAGAGGGGACACCCAGGCCAGAGGTCAGTCCTGCCATCTGTCACACGACTGCCCATGGGTGAAGGTGCCCAAGTCTGGGGTTTTCCTGTTGCTTCCTGCTGTGGCTTCAAGGTCTCCTCCTCTCCTCCCTCCTCTAGGAAACTCAGCAGGATCCAGAGCAAACTATGCCTATGGGGTCGACCAACCAAAACACCTCTCAGCACCCCAGGGTGGCTCCATTCATATTTCCTTCTCCTTCTATTACCCAAAGGAGTTAGCAAAAGATCCCACAGTGAGTATATCCTGGAGACGGGGCCATTTCCACGGGGAATTTATCTACAATAAGACCCCAGCTTTCACCCATGCGGATTACAAGAACCGGCTCTTCCTGAACTGGACAGAGAAGCAGACGTCGGGCTCCCTCAGCATCTGGAACCTGCAGAGGAAGGACGAGTCCGTGTACTTCTGCCGGGTCACACTGAACACACAGAGTGGACGCAGGGAGATGTGGCAGTCCATCCTGGGGACCACACTCACCATCACTAGCGGTGAGTCCACCTGCCCCGGCAGCTGCCAGAGCCACCCCAGCTGGGGCTTTGGGTGACCACTAGTGTCCTTGTCCCCCAGACATCACCTCAGGCCCCACTCCTTCTGACCTTTCTCTCAAACTCCTCTCCCCGTTCTCTGACCCCTCCCTGGGCTCCTTTTCTCTACCCCTTCATCATCCCCCACCAGCACTGCCTCCTCACTGTCCACGCCCCTCACTGTCCCCTCTTGCCCCCAGCCCCAGTCCCCAGGCCCTCGCACCTGCCAAACTCCCCGGTTATCCTCACTTCTTGCTGCACAATGGAGCTGCAGCCTCGCCTGCCCCCCACCCTCGCCCCATCGCCTCCAGGTGGATTTGACTTCTCCAGGTTGTGGCTGCCTTCACTTTGTCAGATGTCCCTGTGTGGAGCCCCAGTTAGCCCCTCAGGGTGGGCACCATATCTTGCGTCTCCCCACAGCCATGAGCTCAGCCTGGAACACAATGGGTTCCCCATCGATGGCCTTGGAGCCCTCCAGTCCCCTGGTAATGCCCCATCACCTGGTTTCTCAGTCTCCCCACTTCCTCGCCCCCTCTGCCCCAGTCTCATCTCTTTCCTCTCCTGTCTCCCTCTTCGCCTGTCTCTGTCCTCTTCACCCTCCTGGCCTCTCACCCCCCTCCATCCCCAGCTCTCCCACACAAGCCCTTGTGCTGTTCTGGTCACTAAGACATGCCTCTGCAGCAGCAAAGACAGCAGGTTTCACTTACTGAGTGTGTACCATGGCCCCTGCTAAATAGCTGCGTGTCCATTACCCTAGTTAACCTTCATCATGACTCCACAATGACAGTAGGTGCTGCTATTATCTTCATTTTACAGATAAGGAAACTGAGGCCTAAATACCTGTCCAAAGTCACACTGGTGGCACAGATGGGATTTGAAAGGGACAGTGAAACTGCACAGACTTCTCTCTTAACCATTAGCTACATGGCCTCACCTACTGAATCAATCATATTGTTTGTCCCAACCTACTTTTCCGATCTAATAATAGGATGTGTGGCATTAATAGATCTTCCAATATTAGTCAGTAGATGCGCCGGAATTCAAACCTTGGTTTATCTGTCTCCAAAGCAGTCAGGGAAGTAGGATCTCTCCCAGGCCCAGGCAATCAGGGAGATTATTGTCTATAGAAAATGTTTTAGAAAATTAATAATCAACAAGTGGGTTCACTTTTTATAATCACTCACACTTGCAATTCTAAACAAGTCAGTGACAAATGACTCCTCCCCACTGGAAAAACACTCTCCCTGTCCACCCCTTGGTAAACCACTGCCCAGTCCTGACTGCTGTGTTGGAACAAATAGAGAGTGACTCCACAATATGAATTAAGACAGCCTTGGATGTACATACCCCGTGCCTCCTACGTGTTTCTTTAAATGGCCTTTTGGAGATATTTGGTTCTTCTCAGTTCCTTCTTCCTCCTTCCCTAATTACTTTCTGCTTTTCTCATTTCTCTGCTTAGTCAGGTTAACTATGAGTTTTTCTAACAATAAATTATTTTTCCAATTAATTCAATTAATTGGATATTCGTGCCCATTATTTGAAAAAACAAAATGCAAGAAAGTAATAAAAAGAAATGTTTTTAATCCAGCTGAAGTACCACCGTGCAAAGATATCATGAGCTAAAGGAATATTTGCAACAAATATAACTAAGTTTGTGGCTGGCTTATTAATTTTTTTTACATAGTTTTATTTTTGTAACCAAATCTAATTGTATACTTATTTGCAACTTTTCTCTTCTTTCTAAGCACAAAAATGTCGTCTCCCACTACAGGCTGAAAATATTTACTTCTAAGTACTTCCTAATTTTTTTTCTAATTGTACAATTTGACTTCTTCTTACAATGAACCTCTTTAATGTAGTGAAAGTTTATTTTGGTATATATCATGAAGTAAACAACTGAACTGATTGATCTTTATACCATGCAAGTAGTCAATTCTCCAAACCCTGTTTATTGAATATTTTTCCCTCCTCTGTTGATACATTATGCTTTGTTTTTAAATTCTGCCATGTCTGGTTGGTCTATTCTATTTCACTAATATGTCTTTTCTTATAAAAAACAGTTCCACACTGTTTTACTGATTGTAACTATCACATTTCTCAGTGGCTGATGAGACTATTTCCTTCTCAACCACATCACTCGTTCCTCAAAAATTTGATTATTGTTGCCTGCTATTTTTCACATAAATGCTAGAATCAGTTTGCCAAGTTCTGAGAAAAACACTCATTGGGATCTTTTAAATCACAATTTCATTAAACCTGTAAATCAATTGACAGAAACTGAAATCAGTCCAATATATAATCTTCCACCACAGGAATGGGCCTTATTTTGTATCCCTCAGTAAACCTAGTGTTCTAAAGATCAAATAAATGTCTCATAGGATTTTTCCTCTCTATTCCATATTTTTATAATTAATGCACATGAGTTTTTTTGAATTTTTTATAATTTTCACTACAAAAGTAATACATAAATTCTGGCCAAGATGATACATTATATGTCCATGTTTATCTCTATTTCCTCCAAAAGTCTACTAAAATGACAGCAAAGGGAATTTTTTTTTTTTTTTTTTTGCAACTGATCTATACAGGAACTAAACCCTGGACCTTGGTGTTGTCAGTACAATGCTCTAACCAACTGAGCTAATCAGCCAGCCCCTACAAAGGGAATTTTTAAAGAAAAAATCCTCAAGAACAAAAATATGTGTGAGCTAGGTGTACAAAAAATAAAATTTGGGAAGCTGGAAACAGATAGACTAATGGCGATCAGAGGAGCTAAACCCTAAGCCAGTGCTGGGGAAACCCAGAAGAATAGCAACTTACACTGAAAACCCCTTAAAGTTCAGTAATGAGTACCCCTGAAATTAGGAGTGAGATGGGTCTGAGAATCAGAGGACCAGTTGAAAATCCATTTTAGGAGCATCCCTCCCAACCCCATACCCTGACCCAGCCAAAGACTGGAGGTTTGCTTTCCAGAACAGATGAACGAGAGGGACTCTGTGGGGAGCATCCCAGACATAACTGGCAAAGAGATTGGGGTCTTGTCCTAACACCGAATCCCCCAGCACTGAGGACTGTACCCTGGCCTCTGCTCTGCCTGGGAAGCTGGAGGCTAGAGCCCACATTAAAAAATATGATTACAGGGGCCAGCCCGTGGCTCACTCGGGAGAGTGTGGTGCTGATAACACCAAGGCCGCGGGTTCGGATCCCATATAGGGATGGCCGATTGCTCACTTTGGTGAGCGTGGTGCTGACAACACCAAGCCAAGGGTTTAGATCCCCTTACCGGTCATCTTTAAAAAAATATATATATATATATGATTACATATTTCATACTTAAAAAAAGTTCATCCCATGAAGCACAGAGAACAAAACAAACAAGGGGGCGGGGGGGGGGTGGAACCTGGAAGAAACCAAACCAATTCAGGGAAAATAAAACTTTAAAATAACTATCATTCTCTTCTACTCAGAAAGCTAAGAGATCTCATGCATGTGACAAGAAAGAATGCTTTACAAAGGAGCTATCCAAACATAAAAAGAGCTCTTGCAAATTGAAGATATAATAGCAAATATGAGAAATTCCATGAAAAGATGGAAGATAAATTTTGTAGAAATCTCCCAGAAGGTAGAATAAAACATCAAAAGTTTACAAACTGTAGCGCAGCCCCCAGAAAGATATGTTCACATCCTAATCCCCAGACTCTGTGAATATCACCTTTTAAAGCAAAAGAGTTAATATTCCCTTACATGGTAACAGGTATGATTAAATTTAGGATTTTGAGATAAGGAGATTATCTGGGATTATCTGGGTGGTCTCTCAATGCAATCACAAGTATCCTCATAAGAGAGAGGTGGGGGAGGCGACACAGAAGAGAAGGCAGTTTGACCACAGAGGAGCGATGCGCTCACAAGTCAAGGGATGCCTGCAGCCACCCTTTGAAAGAAGCGATTTGTGGTAATTTGCTACAACAGCCATTGGAAGGTAGTACAGAAACTATAAGGAAAGATAAGAAAACTATGGGCCGGCCCGGTGGCGCACTGCTACAGTGCGCTGCTTGGGAGCGCAGCGGCGCTCCCGCCGAGGGTTCAGATCCCACATACAGACCGGTTCCCGCTCACTGGCTGAGCGAGATGCGGGCGCAGCACTGAGGGTTGCGATCCCGTTGCCGGTCCCGGTCCGGTACGGGCACAACACTGAGGGTTGTGATCCGTTGCCGGACACACACACACAAAAAAAGAAAACTAGAGGTTCCTGGGCCGGCCCGGTGGCCCACTGGGGAGTGTGCCGCTTGGGAGTGCGGCGGTGCTCCCGCTGAGGGTTCAGATCCCATGTGGAGACCGGTTCCCGCTCACTGACTGAGCGTGGTGCAGGCGCGACACCGAGGGTTGCGATCCCGTTACCAGTCAGTAAAAAAGACAAAAAAGGAAAAAAAAGAAAAGAAAAGAAAAGAAAACTAGAGGTTCCTGAATAATAGGATTTCCAGAGATGGAGAAGAAAGAAAGAATGCTGTGGAGAGGAGAATATAAGAGGTTCCCATCATCTTCCAGAGGCTGCTGCCACCTCCATGGTGCTGATGAGATTCTGTGGTTGGATTCTGTATCCTTGAAGCTGTGCAGCCAGAGTGCTATTTGCATTTCCAAGAGCAACAAAAAATGAATAAGTCTTTGCCCTGCTGAGTGCGCACTGATCAGAGGAGCTAAGATCTGCAGGGACCACACACCCTGTGGTGCCAGTGCATGACCCAGCAGGTAGGCCTTGCCACCGCCGCCTGACTCCATCCCCAGCCCAGCTGAGTGCGCATGCCGATCAGAGAGGCGCCCAGCTGGAGAAGCCCAAGATCTGTGGAGACCACGAGCCCTGTGGTGCCAGCATGCGACCCAGCAAGTAGGCCTCACCACCGCCACCCAACTCCATCACCAGCCCTGCCAAGCGTGCGCTGATCAGAGAGGTGCCCAGCCACAGAAGCTCATGATCCTCGGAGACTACAGGCCCAGCGGTGCCAGTGTGCAACCTAGCAGGTAGGCCTTGCCACCACTGCCAGACTCCATCCCCAGCCTGGCCAAGTGCGTGCTGACCAGAGAGGCGCCTCCCCTG